CAAAGCAAGTTCAAAACTAACAGCCAACCCCCAGTGCTATAGAGCTCCTTTATTTTCTTAGAGATCCTCCCTGCCTCAAAGCTCTCAGATACATCTAAAATCACAGATGAACATTCTCAGCACCAGGGACAACATAGGTTTGTTTCTACAGTAACTGTTAGGCCAGGATCTTCACTGACATCCAAAGTCATTAAAGTAGTGCATGAATTTGCATTTGTAGCTAATTTTAATAACTGTTTAAGAGTTAAATCTCAAGAGTACAAAGCTATGGAAGTGTTCTGATTTGTTTTACAACAAAGAGGGGTCTTCTTGGTTTTGTTCTGTTGTGGTTTTGGGGGTTTTTTTTAAATGTCTTTGGAACCACAGACATTTTTTAAAGCAGTCAAGCCCAAATGGGCAGATACCTTTGGAAAGGGTCCAACTGGACGAACAGTGTCTTAAGTATACAAAAGTTTGGTTACAACTGTAAATATTTAGAACTGAAATATGGTACCTGGTCAGTAAAAAAATGAAGAGGAAGAGAGGCAGAGCAATTTTACGTTTTATTTGAACAACAGGGGAAGAGTTTGAGGAAAGAGGAATCAAACTGAGATTCACAGAAAATTGCCTCCTTCATTCCACTTTTTGTAGGGATCATTAGTCAAATCTGCTGCTGCCTTGATGCACTTTCACTGCCCCCTCCTCTGAGCTTCGCCAGCTGATACCAGTTAAAGCTGTCTGATGTAATTCTCACTGTCCTCCTGCTGTAACCTTTACCCATGTATTTCTCACTATTTAAGTCTGAGGGGTAGAAAATTAATTCCTGCTATTAGAAATAGGTTGTGAGCTTTGATTGGGAGTCAGTAGCTGAAGAAGAGAGGAGCGGAAGGATGGCAACGAAGAGGCCTGGGCTACTTTGTTACAAGCTTCCTATGCCACTGAGCAAGTCCCTTAATCTTGCTGTACCTATTTCCAAGCCATATGCAGGGATAACAGCTTTTCCTTAGCTTATTGCAGTGTTGTTAGGATAAAGACTTTGAAGGGATTAGGTGCCATAACTGGAGGCTTTAAACGCACTTTGGATGGATAAAACAAGTTGCTGAAAGCAACTATCAAGGTCCTAATGTAAACTGTACCGAAGTCACAGTGGTGGCCTGGCATCTTCCTGGTATTCGCATTGTGCATCTCTGTTCCCTAGCCTAACACAAAAAATTTCTCCTCCATAGCTCACACATACGAACAAAAATGGAATTATGTGTTAGGCAGCTTCCCCAAACATTAGATACACAGTCATCCTTAATGTTCTTTCAGCCAGTGCTGAAATGGAAAACAGTAACATGTGTTTCTCCATTTCTCTCTTAATTAGCGTTGCAGCTCCCTTAAACCGTTAGACCCAAGTAGTAAATTGCTTCCAAAATATCCAATTGAGATGAGAAATCTCTTAGTCATGAGTTTGACCTAACAGTTTCAGGCCCAGCAAGTAACCAGAAGAACTGAGGATGTCTGAGTCAGCTGAGACCATTTTATTGAATCACTCAGACAGTCCCTGAATGTTTCTTCATAGGTAGCTGCGTATACACAGATCCAGCACCTGCTTTCCATCAGTCAGATTGCTCACATGCCAGGTGAAACATGGTGGGCAGTGAGGATGTAACTAATGTTATGTAAAGAGTGACCTAACTGCTAAGGCTCGAAGTGTGTGGTGCTGTTGTCCTGAAGTCAGTGCGCTCATCCCTCTCCTAGCGTGTACCCCAGGGCTCAGACATTGCAGAGCGGTTGCCATTTAAGAATATTTGCTAGGGATTTATACCCTTTTTCACCCACAATAATAGAGCTTTGTTTTCCCTTCAAAATTAATTTGACCTGTTCTTGGGAGTGAAGGTTCTCAGCATCAATGGTAAATATTTTCCTTTTCCTAAAAAAAAACCCCAAACACACAAGTCTGATGGCTAGAGGCACAATGATGGAGTTTTTATAAGGATTTTGCCTTCTTTTGTAGCTCTCAAATATCATGCCAGGCCACAAGAAATTGGACTTTAAAGTTGTGATGCTTCATGTGTTTCAAAAGAAAGCCTCTCTAACATATTTCTAATGTTTTGCATAAATTTCTTTGAATAATGCTTCTGAGAAGTTATAAGCTGATAAGACACAGTAGGCAATAATAGAATTATGTAAATGGAGGTTGGACTTCCATTCTAGCATTTTTGCACTAAGATATCCCAGAGAATATTGGTGTTTTCCAGTGATATAGGCCTTCAGTTCCCTTTGCTGGAAAACTGGTTCAAAGACAAACTCTTAACAGATGCCTTGTAGGGCTGGAGCCACATCAGCTCACAGAGATACTGCCTTCTGCTGCTGCCCAGCCAGGATGCTTTCTACAGAGCTCAAACACTGGTAGGGCTTAGCCAGAAGCATGGAGACCCCTCTGTCCTGTTCTGAAGTGCCTTGGGAAGCTGGGAAGAGGGGAGGTGATGCAGGTATCTTTGTGCTTGTTTTGTCTATTTTGGATATTACATGCTGCCTAATGATGAGAGAGCGCTCAGGTCTTGTTAATCTGCAAGAGCTGCTGGTGGTATTAAAGCCACATGCTTAAGGAATGGTTTCCTAGAGCCTGTCTGGGAACCTGTGCTGTGTCCTCTGTAGTGGGTGTTGCGTCTCTTCTGCTTGCAGCAGCTCATTGCTCTGACCCATGAGGCCGTGAGCAAGGCAGCTGCTGGGACTGTGTAAGGAGAGCACAACTCCAGAGAAAAAAGGTTTGGAAAGAGTAGCTCTGCACCGCAGGCAGCACCCAGCTCTGGTTACTATTGTATTAGATTTTATGTCATTAATTAAGATGAATATGTTAATTACAGGCTTGCTGTACCTTAGCATAAAGATTGCCATCTCTCTTTGGTAGTTACAGTACTCCTGCTGGATAGCCAGGGCAGATGTAAAAACATCCATTTCTCCCATTCGTCCCTCCCTTACACAGGGAGCAGAGAAGGTCCAGGAAATACAGTTGAAACCAAATTAGATTGCAGTAAGGATGCTGGAATAGAACAAACTGGGAAGTGTCTATTCTATGCCAAATCATTTTACAGACAGCTTGGGACGTGCAAAAAAAGATGAAAATTACTGGGCAGAAAAAGTATATGGCAGAGCACTGACCTTTTGAGTTATCACACAGCTTTGACCAAGAACACCACTGCAATTATAAAACACGTGGCCAGGAAAAACACTTCTTCTCAGGTGCTTCCCTTTTGTAGTCTCTGGGATGCTAACAGCACATAGCTCAAGAGGGGAGCTCTGTTAGCATTTGTAGCAGTGAACAGAGTGACATGATGTTTCCATAGAAAAAAATCTGCTTGTATTGATTGGGAAAAAGTCTATTTAATTCCTCAACTGCAAAGAAATTTCACAATTTCTATTTTAGCTCTATTGTTGTACCAAGAACTCCCTTTGAAGTTGTTAATGCTCCAGGGAGATCTTGTTTTGCATTATTTGAGTCTGATATACATTATAGTCAGATTTTGATCCTTGGTGACAACAGCATAAATTCAGAATAAATCCTTTTGAGATCCTGGCCCATAGTCCTTCAATGGAGTAATTCCGTTGCAGGTGGCAGCAGCATCTGGTCTTTTATGTTTTTAACAGTGGCTGTGAGGTCCTCAAAGGATGAGCAATTTGTCTATGGCTCGAGTTCTCTTCTTTCAGCTAAAGTTAAAGTTTTTAATCCAAAGTTAAAAAAAAAGAAATGTAAGATACAGCAATACTCTGGGTCTGCAAACAGCTGCTTGTCACAGGGAGTCTGTGAGGGTCAGTGTTATCTGTAGCGATCTCTGTCCACAGGCAATACTGTCAAACTGAATTTTGCAGCTTGAGGTACCTTTGGGGAACTAACTTCAGTGTCCCTAGGCACTTTGACAGTGTATTAATGGGGCTGTAATTCCAGTAGCATTAATCAGACCCTAGGATGTAAAAGGGAGTGATTCAGACAAACTCTGTGTTCTCTCAGTCTGTCGCTGTGGGAAGGCATTGGTAACGCATGAGTGGGTTTTGTGATATTTTTCAGTTCACATGCTTAGGGATTTCCTCTGCAGCTTCAGGAAGGGTTTTATTTCTCTGCAGAAAGAAGTGGCGGGGTCCCTTGAAAGGAAAGGTAAGGTTGCACAGGTTAAAGCATGGCTGTGAAGAATGACTGGCTAAGGTTGAGGGACCTTGTTAAGGCTGGCAGGGTAACTTCCCTGCATGAGCTCGTGCACTGACAGACCGGATCTGTTATTGGATTTTGAGTGACTTTTGTTTTGTCTTTTGTTTTAAAGCAAGCTGGGTAAAGCGAATGTTAATGCTTAAGAGAAGAGCTGATACGCAGGAGATCAGGGCTCTGCTCACAGCATTGCTGCAAATATTCATCCAGGGTGCATGGCAGATGTTCAAGCCTGGCCAGCTGCTCTGGTGCTGGGGTATTTGGTGACCAGTGGGGTTGTTAAGCATTGCTGAAGGCCTGAGATGACTAACCCCATGCTGTGTACTCTTCTCACCCCCACTTCCTCCTCCATTTCTTTCTCCTCTCCTTTTGTTTATCTTTACTTGGTTAGCTTCCAGCCAAACACGGAGGAGCCGGGGAGTGCACTGTTCAGCACACTGAGGAGGAAGGCAGTGTCGCAGCCCTAGCTCCTATAGCATCAACACAAAATGCCTAGAACAGAGTCTGTTTCCCTAGTGTGACATAAGCTCTGCCCTGATAGTCAGGCCTGTGATCAATTTGGCCATTGGTCTCAGTTAGGGTAGATAATCTGAATTGCCTGCTGTTTAAAAAGGCAGCAAGGGATATGGTCCTATCAAGAAATAGTGTGAAAACTAATTGCAGCATGGGAGGGAATGGGACTCCAGGGCTGTGATCCAGGAATGGAAAACATGGGCTGCGAGACAGTGGAAAACTCCTTTTAAGAGACATGTACTTTTGACTTGTTCCAGAAAAGGTCTAGTGAACAAGTGAAGATGGTTTCAGTCACTTTTTATGTTCTCTGGTTTTGATCTAGGTCTGCTCCAGCTCCTACCCAAGGTCCCACCAGTGCTGGGGCTGCAGGGCCACCTCCTGCTACCAATGTGTCAAGCAACAAACGGCTGCAGCAGACTCAAGCCCGGGTGGATGAGGTAAGTGGCTGCAGGTGACTTGTTGCTCACCACAAGGGTGCTGATGTGACTATTTTTTTTTTCTTTAAGATGGTTTCCTCCCTAGTGATCCAGCAACTCCTGCTTGTCTGAAGGCAGTGGATCTATCGAAATGAGGTTTACCAAAGATGGCATTTATGAGGAAGCAGATAGTACAAGAGAGATTCTGAGTATGAGTGTCCTTGTACCAGTAACACTTCCACAGAATAAATGTGGCCACTGGTGCCAATTGAGGAATTCATAGAATACCAGGTTGGAAGGGACCTCATCTAGTCTAATCTTTCTTGGCAAAAGCATGGTCTAGACAAGATGGCCCAGCATGCTGTCTAGCTGAATCTTAAAAGTGTCCAATATTGGGGAATTCACCACTTCCCTGGGGAGATTATTCCAGTGACTGATTGTTCACATTGTGAAAAATTTTCCTCTTGTGTGCAATTGGAATCTCCCCAGGGGTAACTTGTACCCATTGCTCCTTGTCTTTTCCATGTGACTTCTTGTAAGAAGGGAGTCTCCATCTTCTTTGTAGCCACTCTTTAAATACTGGAACATGGTGATAAGGTCTCTCCCTAAGCCTTCTTTTCTCAAGATGGAACAAACCCAGTTCTCTCAGCCTTTCCTCATATGACAGGTTCTCCATCCTTTAATCATCTTTGTGGCCCTTCTCTGGTCCCTCTCTGGCCTGTCCATGTCTTTTTTGTAGAGCGAGGACCAAAACTGGACACAGTATTCCAGGTGTGGCCTGACAAGTGCTGAGTAGAGTGGGATAATGACTTCTTTATCTCTGCTGGTGAGGTCTTTGTTGATGCAACCCAGCATCCTGTTGGCTTTCTTTGCCACAGCAGCACATAGTTTGCTCATACTGAGCTTGTTGACCACCAGGACCCCAGGTACCTTTCCACAGAGCTGCTGCCCAGCCACGTAGATCCCAGTGTGTGTTGCACTCCTGGATTATGTTTTCCAAGGTGCAAGGCCTTACACTTGTCCTTGTTGAACTTCATAAGGTTCTTGTTAGCCCACGCTTCCAGCCTATCCAGATCTTCCTGCAGGGTGGCTCTTCCTTCCAAAGTGTCGTTCTATAACTTTCCCAGGGACTGAAGTAAGACTGATGGACCTATAATTTCCTGGATCTTCCTTTAAGCCCTTCTTGTAGATGGAGATGACATTAGCCTTCCAGTCTTCTGGGATGTCTCCCGATATCCACAACTTCTCAGAGATTATGGAAAGCAGCCTTGCAACGATGTCAGCCAGCTCAGGTGGATATCAGAGCACACTAATTCGTAAAGGTCAAGCTCCTGTAACAGTTCACATACCAGCTCTTCCTTCACTGATCGTGGGTCTGTGTTTGCATCAGCCTGGGTTTTTGTTCCCAAGGCCTGGGACCCAACAATGCTGGTAAAGACAGAGGTGAAGAAAGTGTTGAGAACCTCTGCCTTTTCAGCGTTATTGGTGACTAATTCACTTCTCCTGTTTAAGGGCAGGCCAATATTTTCCTTCACCTTGCACACCTGCTGTGCAAATTTGTGTGCTGGGTATTAAGTATAGAGTTTTGCTAAACCACTACAAAGACTTCAGTAACTAATTGCTTACTGTCCATGGAGCACTGGCCAGGACTTGTGTGATTCTTTAATGCCAACTCAAAATAATACACTTTAGAAAATTACATGCATAAAGGCCTCTATTTTCAAAAGCTCCAGGTATGCTTTAAAAATGGTAGAGAAGCCCTCACAACATCGAACTTAAATGCATTTCTTAAGATGAATTAAATACACCTGTCAAATTAAGCTTAGTCTTTTGGGGAACTCCTTTGCTGAAGAGCTGAAATAGGGTCTTTCTGGCTGCCCCGTTGCTGATGCTCAGAGCTGATCACAAGAACATTCTCTGGCTGCAGAAATGTCTGCAGAAATTTCTAGGTCTGGTTCTCTCATTATCACCGATTTTCACATCACACTAACTTCATTGATGTTAGTGGAGTACGTCTCGGTGGAAAAGGGAATATTACATTTCAGCTTTTGTCTTAGGTCAGAATAATGAAATAAACTTCTTGTCCTGAACATATTACGTCATAATGGTGCTGTAATTGTTTACGTGAGCTACAGCAAAAGTAATTATCCCTAGAAGATGAAAAAATAATTGCTAGTTATTGTCTCAAACAAGTGATGCAGGTCAGATATATAGGGCTCTTCAAGAAAGACCAATGGAGATGGCTCCAGTGAGGCTAGTGAACTCTCGCTTTGTGTTTAAGATACTCTGTATTCCGAGACTTTTCACTCAAGCCCATGCAAGTTTGTTGTCTTGTGAAGCATGATGGAGTAATTTGCGCAGGAACTCTTACCCAGTATGAGGGGACAGTGAGTAGCTCTTAAATTTGAGGATTATGCAATGTCGCGGATGGAATGTTTTAACACAGTTATGATTTAGCAGCGATTCAAGATTTATTAATGGTATGAGGTAAATCAAAGGTTAAATTTTAGCAGCCCTGAATTATTAACTAATTTAAAGATTAACAAGATGATTCAGTAGGATATGTTATAATTAAAACAGTAACTTAATTACAGATTTGAAAATGACAAGATTCACACTAACTTACTACAAGGTATCCTAAATCAAAATATGTATATGTACGTACCAAAGATAAAGCATGCAGACAGAAATATTTGGATCCAGTGAAATATAGACGCCCACACTCGTGAAGGCAAGTGCGTATGTTCAAACACACAGACAAGTAGAGAGATTGATGGAAGATGCTGGCCTATAGGTAAAATTTCCCTCTCAAGTTTTGTGTAAATACTCGCAATGCA